TATTTTCAATAATATTTTACTTTCAGAAAGAACTTAAGAAAACAAGGAACGTTCACTGCATCATAATCACCATTGTAAATAATTCTTGCAAAGGCTTCGAGCTCATTTTTCAATCGCAAGAGGCGGCGGGTGTGGTTTTGACGGATTTCCATTTAGGAGCTGGGTCACATCCTCTCCGTGCTGTTATTTCTTTCTTCCCAGCACTTTGAGCACACCGTATGAATATGCATAATTAAATTTTCCATCGTCTCTCTGTCGAAGTTTGTGAAATGAGGTGATGCTCTTTTCTGATCCGCCAGCAGCCAAAACAGATTCACGAGCTCCTTTTCTGGGTGCAGCTCCGACGATGTACAACGAAACGAACGGCTTTTAATTCATTGGCACGCACTTGTTTCCAATCAAACGCGATGACTCAGCTGATAAAAGTAAGACAAAAGCTGCTGGGCGCACTATCAATTATTAATTTCGCTTATGGTAGGTTGAGCTATGTATATTTTTAACGCCGCTAAAACAGTTTCTTTTAAGAAGATTATCTCAGATCATCTTCCTGGGACAATCATAATAGGATATAAAAATTACCCAATGTATAAAAAGTGGAGAGTTACAAATTATTGATTTACAATAAAAAAAAATATTATTCATGAGACTTTATTGGAAAAAAAGAAGTTTGGTTACAAATAAAATAAAAGTTTAGAAGTTTTTGTTAATGTTTTACAATTCCCGCCTGAAAAATTTATCTAAATTCTCACTGCGCTAAATCCATTTACATCAAATATTTTTTTGAATATCCGTACTGCTTGATCAATTTTGTTAATAAAATTATTTAGTGACTGACTTGATTTAAAGAGAAAAAGCAGCAATCGTACAAATTGAAATACGTAACTAAAACAAAGATTCCAGAATTTTCAATAACAGAAAATATGTATTATTTAGTATGCTTTAATGTTTGCAGACTTTAGCAAACAAAAAATTGTAACAATAATCTGATATTTCCAATTAACTGATAATATTGTATTTCCTTCAATGTGTAAAACATCAAATTTTCTTGAACAAAAGGTCATATTTACAAATTATTGTGGTTGTGCTTAAGAAACTGTCCCTGAGCTAAAATCCACATAATTTTTGATTCCGTCCACACTTCTCGCATTTACCCAGTTGCGTGAGATGCGTCGGCTCTGATTGTTTTGAAGTTTGCTGAAGAAATTCCTGCTGCCATTCCCGACCAAATTGGGGTGACATCACCTTTGGCACCGACATGAAACGCCCGTGCGCCGCCTCACCTGCGCCGCGAATTGCAGAACATTCGGAACGGCCGCGTTTATTTTCACACGCGTGTGTAGAAAAATCATTTTCTGCTTCGGAAAGATATATATAAATAAATAAAATACTTTGGCCGCGCGAGAATTGCGTACACAAAAGCTCTCTCGGCCAAGAAATAAAGAAGCAGCGAATGCCGATGTCCACAACAGATAAGAGGAAGGTCTCATTAATGGGCTTTTTTTGCCGACAGGTATTGTTCTGGATTAGCTCACGTCCCCATGCCTACTTTTGGGCAAACGGCGAAATTCGACCAAATGAGAACCAGCTTTTCGCTTCGCAAGTACGTGCCGTCGAAAATGCGCCGCGCGAGTTAAGGACGCGTGCCTGCTTTTGTACCCGCAAAGAAGAGCTGCACTATGCCGAGCACGCGGAATGCCTCGGCTTTTTTGCAACTAATTGTCTGCAGCAGCTTTCGGCCGAGGGCTGACAAGCTGGAAAAAGAGCACTCCGCGCGGTAAATTACGTTGCGGACGCCAAATTTGGCAGAGCTGCTCCCGTTTTTTGTGCAAAAATCTCTTGCTGAACGGATTAAAGATCATGCGTGTACTGTTTGAACAAACGACTCATGTCACACACAAATGATAGAACGGCAAAAGTAGAAAAAATTCAAGGCTAGGTAAATAAAAAGTGTGGATATTTAGAATTTTGAGGTAGACACAAAACATTACAATTTTTCTTTACCTTAATTATATACAAAATAAATTTTATTTAATTCAAAAGACTCCTTGAAAGTAGGCAACCAGTTAAGTTGGTTCAGATTTTCCAGCAATTTGTATGATATTGATAAATTTAATGAATTTCATACCAGGTGGTTTTTTTTCTTGCTGTTTTAATGTTTATAAGTATTTCAATAAAATTTAAAGTGAAAGAACTTTTAGTGGCATTTAATTTCCATTTATTTTTTTAATAGATTGGGAAGGATATAGAAAACTATATTAAAAGTATTAAAAAAATTCCTATATCTTAAACGCAGTCTCTTTAATTTTAAAGCAAGCAAGAGTGTAGAGAATATACTTTTCACCTCAGTTCAATAAGCAGTGATTTTGAAAAGACTTGCAATAATCATTAAGAATTACTTCAACATTTGGCGAGAGCTGACAGTGATAGTAAAGTATCAGTATTTATGCAAATTGTGCTTCAGCCAACTCTCAACTATCACATCGGTTAGAATCGGGCAGCAGTAAATTTAGGCGTGCATTGTTTTATTAGCGAACACATGTCTCGCATAAAAATCAAAGTTGAATCGGACGGCGGCAAACAGTTTTATTTCCAAACTGTACGCGCACACATGTGCGAATCGGAAATTTTTATTGCCAATTGGAGTGAGTATATTGTTGCGGTAAACTGCAGGGTTTATTGGAAGTTGATTTAGCCTCTGTCTGCGATTCCAAGTTAATTGAGCATCTTTAGAGCCGTTTTTTACTGTTACATAGAATAAAAAGGGAAGGAAATGCTGGATTTATACAAATTTCAATTTATTTTATTAAGATTTATTGCATGATTGTAAGAGCAGATAATACAGAATTATTTACAGAACGCAAAATTTCAGATAAATTTCATATACAAATGGGAAAATAATTAATTTATTAAAAACCAAAAGAGAGATTAATAGTTACAAAGGAGTTCACTTTTCTACTCTAAAATCAAAATTCAATACGCACACTAACAAAACAAATATTATTAATATTTTTTTTATTTGTAAATAATTTAATGTTTAATTACATACTTAAAATTAAAAATGGATGAAGCGTATAATAAATTAATGCATGCTATTAAAACAATTAAATATTTTTTTAGTTTTTGCGCAAGCAAAAAGCTTGCGTAGATCAGATTCTCAGGATTACCAGCTTGACTGATCACAGTGTAACTTATTTATTTTTAATAAAAATTCTTGAGATCATCGATTAGATTTGGCCAAGCTTTGCAATTTTTCACGACGAGCAACATTATGAGCGCAAATTTGAGGCGAGTGAGCATAATGGGAAATTGGCCTCATGAGCATTATTTTTCTCTCGCGCAGTGTGCGCGCACCAATAAAACAAAATTGATTATCAGTTGGCAGTTGGTTCTCGCGGTGTTTTTGCAAGCAAGAGAAGAAGAAGAGGTGATTAAAATCGGAGGAACGGAGGCGTGTCTAGTATCACGAGGTACTTATTCTTGCTCTCGCGCTGAGATTAATCAGGGACGTGATTCGAACAGCCCCCTTCGCAGGAACCTTGTTTCTCATCTCTAGTCTTTGATGAGATTGAAAGAGAATTAAACGCGCTGAGCTGAGCTTTAATCCTTCGCCAGCCAGTGTTTGTGTGTGTTTTATTATTTTCACTGCGGGCGCTTTTGATAAGGTATTCCTGGTGAAACAAAATTTATACCGCTCAATAATTTTATATATGAACGTGGCATATAGTGTGTGTTAGATGCTCGTAACGAGATGCAGGACGGCGACGTGAATTTTCAAAATCGTTCATGCCCGAGAGCTAAGAATGATGCATGATGAGGAATTCAAATTTCTTGAAAATCGGAGAGTGAAAGCCAATTAAATCAAACATTTTTTAAATTTATCATGCTCTTTTCTGTTGGTAAAATATTTTTATCAAACGCGGAAAATCTTTCTTAAAATTTAATTTGTACAAAAAATTTTTACCATTGCTCCTTTTTACATAAAATTTAATTTATATGCAGTGGAATTTTAACTGGGTTTGATTTAATGTAGTCGGAAGCAGTGCAAAGATGCAATTTATTTACCAAAAGTCAGCTAAAAATGTAATGTATCATGTTTGAATATTGAATGTAAACCGATGTAAACAATGTGAGGTTACAATAAAGTGGGTATGAATTTTGACAACTAAGCAATAACAATAATTATTATTATTTTGCATCTAAAAAAAAATAAACATTACGTGATATTTAAAAAATCTTTATTGCTTAAGTCGAAATAAATCAAGACTTTTCATTCTTAGGGGTCATTTTTGTTAATGATTGTAAAATAATAAGAAATTTATAAATTATCATTTCTGTAAAGACTTGATTTGACTTTTTCCTTTAATGACACAAAATCAAATGAATAAAATATTGAAGAAGGTGACACTTGAGGAGATGATCATGGAAATGAAGGAAATCGGGCTTGTCCTCGATGCCAAAAATTGTTTTTATGAGCCGTTATGTTTTTTAATATTAAAAACAATTTTTTTGCGACGAGGACAAGCCCGATTTTCTTCATTTTAACATAAAATATTGTATATTATTTAAAAATTTATATAATTTTAAAATAGCAATTACTGATTTTTTTTTGCTGATAAAGCGCCATTCAATTATAGCAATGGTCATTTAAAATACTTGTTTTAGATCAAAAACATATCAATTATTTGAATTATTTAATAGGATCATTAAAATTATTATGTATTAAATAATATTTATATGATTGTATGATTATTATGACTCTTTTCCATACAGTACTAACATGGCAATAATTTTCATAAATTATTCTTACGTAGTCTGTAAAAAATTAGTGTTATAATTATTAAATAAGTTGTTCCCTCGGTCAGAACTTTGATTCCCCAATGTTATTTATGTGAGCAGCAATCATCGTGCTTTTACCGCCAGTTTATTTAAAAATTTCTCCTCCGCCAATGGAAAGTGATTTAGTGTCCTTCCTTTTATCCATTGTTATTGGTTCCCCACCACGAACAACATCATCTGGGCTGATAAACAAAAAGAGAAATTACACAGCGCTGAATCAAAGAAACTTAAGAAACGCAACCTTTAAAGCAAAAACTTACGCCTGCAACCTTCACAAAACACCGTGACTAGGTCGAAAATGCTTTCACCGTAATTCCCCGAACGTTTGTGACAATTTTCAATTTTTCTCCTCGGCGAAATGAGCCTGATGGTGTTGAATCTGCACTCGGCGCAATGCACGCAGAGTGAAATCAACCTGCGACAGATGGGCGAAATCCTGCAGCGAGACCCTGACGCCCTCGGCAGACGTGCAGAGTTTTCCTTCTGCGGGCAACTGACGCCCCTGCAAAGCGCCATTTACCGAAAGCACGAAGTTTGCGCCGAATTCCTCATCGACGTAAAATAACCTTACAAAAAATAATTAATATATTTAACATGACATTTTAATAATCTTAGCGTGGTGCGGATGTGAATGCTGTGACAGGAACTGGATGCCACACGGCCCTGTACATTGCGGTCTATAAAAATTGCCTACCTTTGGTCGAGTTGCTGCTGAAAAGAGGCGCCTCGACGAACTGCCAACTTCAAACCTACGCAAACCCAAAGGGTGACCAAACATCATGTCGCTCTTGGTAGGCTTTTTATCATTTCAAAGCCAATTTTGTGCTGTCTTGAATTTATATTAAAAAAGAAAAAAAATAGATTGATGAAACATAAAACCGCCGGATTTTTTAGGAAAGAAACTATATATAATGTTTTAAATTTATTCGGATAAAAATGATAAAATAATATTAATAACTAATTGTTATTTGCAATTTCAGGTACTTCCATTTGGCTGCCACTTTTGATTTCCAGGACATTGCCCAGAAACTAGTAGAGTTCGGCTCTGAAACTGAAGACTTTGACGAGCACACTGGTCTTCCAATTTTGTATGCTGCTGAGGTATAAATCAAAATATCCATATCATATCAAATAAAAAAGTTAAATTGGCTTAAAATATTGATTTAACAAGTCTGTAAATTTAAAGCACAACTTTTATTTACTTTTAGATTGCTGCAGTCAAAGCAAGTCCAGAAATTCTGCTGCTTGCCCTTCAGTATGGCTCGAACAATACTAAACGAGCCGTTTCAGAAGAGATCTCTCTGGTGATGGGTCCTTCGTTGGTGCTCAGCACATTCATCAACAAGTGGCCCATCAACCCTAGTAGACTTATAACAGTGTGGACAGTTTTGTCCAAGTTCGGACACAGCTTTTGGTGTAAAGACAGAAAGGGCAGGGACGCCATGGGTTTGATCTCAAGGAAACGCGCCAGAAATTGTGTCATGGATCCACTCAATGTTCCTGACAGTTTTTTCGACGAGTTGACAAAAGCACTGGAAGAATTCATGCGCACACCACTCCGATTGCAAGACATTTGCAGAATTGCCATCCGAAGGCAGATGGGCCGTGGTGCCCAAAGCAAAATTGATCAAATCACTGGAATTCCTGCAATTTTAAAAAGATTCTTGAAAGTTGAGTTGCTGTGATTTGTGATATTAGAGAAAAAACTGTCAGATGTCATTGTTAGTATGAATGTGTGCTTCGTAATTTTTGTGTTGTTTTTACACTTTTGTAAGTCCGTTTTCATTTTCCAAAAGGAGTTTTACGTGGATACAGACACTAAGCGAAAAAAAAACCAATGCTTGGGAAATGAATTAAAATGTCATTTGCTAAGTTGGTTTTGGAAAAATAAAGATTTCCTCTTAGGAAATATGAACATTTTAATTCATTTTTGCAAGCTTTGGTTTTCTCGCTCAGTTGCTGAATCAACTTAAAATTTCTCATGGAAAAGTGTCAGACGTCGCGCTTGTGTGATATTTAAATTAGATTAAAAGTAAGCTTATTTTGCAAAATTGGGTAAAAAGTGTAAAAACAAGAAATGAAATATGCAAGTAAGCGAGACTAGCGAGAGTCAAATTTCAAGAGAATCATCTGATGCTTTCTGTGCCACTTAAAAGGACACAGGTCAAAAGACTTTGTATTAGCCTGACTGTAAAATTAAAATTAAAAAAAAAAATTATTGTATCGTTGCATATATTTATATCTTCTAAATTATTTGTTATAATAATATGGCGCATTCAGACTTTCATTATTAAAATTAAATAGGAATTTTGAGTTTTATTATTGCAACCCTTTATTTATAAATAATTTGCCAAATATCATAAATAAATAAATAATAATGAGAAACAAACATACACAGTATTATATCCATATTAAAAAAAAAAACTTTGCGTTCTTAGTTCTTCTTATCATTAATAGATGGCTAAAACGCCTCGCAATTCGCATTATCTCGGGTGAAGTTTCTCAGCCAATCAGCAGTGAACTTTTAAATTGCGCGCTCTTTTTGAGAAAGGCGCCAAGCAACCGGCTGATTTAGAGGATCACAGATCACATTTTGCTTGATTTGTAAATTTCCAATTTTACTTTCGCTTTGAATTTCGGATTTTAATTTTAGACTTGTAACGTTATCAAAATCATTGCATCATGAAGAAGGGCAAGCGCATCCTTCGCATCAAAAACAAGAGCGATAGCCTCGACAAAAACGAGGAGAGCGACACTGAAATGCAGACTGAGGAGGATGAGTCCGTTAAAGAAAAGCAGCAGGTTGCGACCAGCAAGACCCACAATGTCACTGCTCTGAACGATTTCAAACTACAATGTGAAGTCTAAAACTGAAGTTTTATAAAAAAAATTTACAAGGATATTTAAATTCCAGCTCAAATTTACCTGGACCGTCTGGACGAGACGTACGAGCAACATGCCCAGGCTCTTCGGTTGCAGTACAAGAATTTGTTTCTGATCATTGAGAAGGACATTCAGGACCTCACTCTGAGGCAGTTCAATAGAGTAGTTTTAAATATTTAAGTTTTTTAGGGAAATTTAAAAAAAAAATTATATTTAATTGTAGTTGAAAGAAAGCTACATGCAAGAGCAAAGTGAAGAAATGGAGGTCAATGAAGTGGATGAAGAGGAAGAACAACCAGTTGTAAGGCTGCAGACGCAATCACCAAATGTCACGAGCACCAAGAGGACAAGGAGTTCTAACAAGAAAGCTGAGGAGTTGGTCAAAGTTGTTGAAGTTCCTATTGAACCTATACAGGAAAATGAAATTGCTGAAGAGGCTGAGAACTCTGATGAGGAGGACAAGAGATCTTCCCAACCCAGACATGTAATTAATAAAATCTGTTTTGTTTCTTGAAGCGTATTAATACCCAAATTTTATAAATCTGCAGTCCGAGCTTGTGCCTTACAACCCTAGGAAAACCCGATCAATGCTTAGGGTTTCCACTGGAGGTATCAGCTATGAAAACATGCCAGGAAATATGCTTACTGGAATGCAGCACCCGATGACTAACATTCTGCTGCAAGATGGAACGGTAGTAATTGAAACACGTTGAAATTCCATTTTAATTATTGTGTCCTTAGGTGGTACCATTGATGCCTCTGCCCATGAAATCTATTGGAATGTTGCCGGAGATTTCTCCCAACATTTTCGAGAACCTCTTGATGTTGGGAGTAAATATCAACAATGTAGCTCAAGCTTGGGCCAAGCAGCAGAAAGAGTTGGGACCTGTCATGAAATCCATTGCTGCCAAAGTGGCTAAGAAAAAGTGAAAATAATATTCTAAGTTAATGTCTTTAAAAATTTGTAAAATACGTTACTTAAAAATGGACTGAAAACTGATTGTGCGACCGATTGGCCTTTAAATTAACAGTGAATTGAAGGCGATTTACATTTAACAGGTAGCAATTCTGGGATATGTTAAGAATGTTAATAGGCAAATCCAAATCTTTTGAAACAGACTTGTTGAATTGCATTGAACACAACACACTGAAGATCTATGTATATACTGATGCTCTCATGTGAAATCTCAACTAATTTAATTTTATCTTTTCAATATGTATTGCAAGAACAAAAATATATTTTTTCTGGATTATTAGATTCTTAAATAAAGTATAAGCTGATTTTAATTACTAAGCTTTAAATTATTGATGTTATTAATGCGCATGTCCTGATTCAAATAAGAGTAGCGCTAAACATTCAAAATCACCCCTTGCTACCCCTGCATTCCATGATTGTTGGTGCGGAACACCACCTGCAACATTAAGCAAGCCAAACTGTTACAACTCAAAATGTTTCCTCGGCCGCAGCCGTTGGTACCAGGGTAAATTATTTTTGTACATCAAAAAGCATTTTATATGGTACTAAATTTATTAATTAGAGACAACCAGACAAAATTTATTCAAGAGCGTCTGGCAGACACTGAGAGGCAGATGGGAGACCTTTGTCAAACTTTGGGTGGCTATGCTAAAAACTATTCAAAGTAGGTTTTGTTAAAAATAATATCAAATTTAACTATTTGGATTTTGGCTGCTACAATTATCAGAATTCGAGATCAAACAGATGAAGTGGTGATGACATTAACTAGAAATACTGAAGCTGAAGAGGTGAATAAAAGTACCAATGCTGGATTGCAAGAGTTTGCAAATTCTTTTTCTGTGATAGCAGATAATAGGTGAGATGCTCAAAATCGATAACAGATTTAACTAAATTTTTTAAATTATAAATCTTGTTTAAGGGAGATATTCTTAAAAAGATTTGAATCTCAAATATTGGAGCCTTTCTCGTCAATCGGAGCTCAGTGTAGGGAAGTGAGAGAAAGCGTCAAGTTGTCCCTTGCTGCGAAAGAAAAAGAGCTGACCAGGAAGAGAAATGTGGAGAAGATTCGACAAAGAAACCCAAGGAACAGACAGAAAATTGTAGACATATTTGCTTTGAAAAATTTAACTTTCTCACAAGTAGTGAATATTTTTAGCTCATGGCAGAAACAGACCTGGCCCGAGCAAGTGCTGATGTTTCAAGGACTTTGAGATCACTTGAGGAACAGATGGACTCTTTTGAATCTCTCAAGCTGAGCGTCACAACCAAAGCTCTAAAAAATTTGGTGATATCGGAAATGGCTCTCCATGCGCAGGAAATGGAATTGCTCACAAAAGCCTACAAGGATTTGCAAGCTATCGACGAAGAGCAAGACTTGGAAGTAAAATTTAGAAGATATTTTAAAAGCATTATAATTTATAATTATTAAAAATGCCCTAATTAAAGGATTTCCGTAAAGCCCTCAGGGAGCCAACAGTGATAAAAGAGAAAAAGTCAAGCTTCAGGTCAATAGCAAATATACTGATGGGCTCGAACAAGTCAAGCTTGGAAAAAAGTTCTAAGATGAGCTTGTCAAAATCTATGGGCAACGTTTCAAGCCCGCCATCAAAAACACTGGCAAGTTTAATACTATTTTAGCTAAAAATGAAAATGATAATAGTTTAATTTAGGAAAGCAAAAGTTTGTCTCGGAGGAGCTTGCCTGGAGACTCGAAGGTGACAAGGCTGACCATAGCAACGGATACCGAGGACGAAGAGTCAACAGAGGAAACAATTTCGACAGATGAAGAGGTGCAACCTGCAGGTAAGTCTGCAAAACAGAAAAAGAGACCAACATCAATGTATTCTAATTAAGTTTGAAAATTAAATATATAAGTAGGTTTGATTAACAAGAACATTTTAATTTCTACTGAAAGAAAATGCACGGTGACTCCGACAGAGTGTGGTTTGGAACTTAAATTTAAAATACAAAGTACACTTACAATTAGTCCAGTTATTCACTTAATTAAATATTAAAAGAGATGCCGTGGGTGCACAACATGTGGAAGGAAAATAAGTTATTGCGAAACACTTCAACTGTGCAGTGAAATTGACTGGCGGTGATCAATCTAAAAATGATGATGATGTCAAGGCCCGCAGAAAAGTGTTACTTGTCTGGACCCTCAACGCCAGCCTGTGTCATTAGATCAGCGATATTCTTCTCCAGGTCGTCAATTCGGTTTCCCATTTCATCAAGTGAGGAAAATTTAAGGAAAATAAATCACATGGCGATTTATTAAAAACTGGTTTTGATTGGAAAATGGAAAAAAATTATTAAATAACTAATAATTCTCTCATGTATCACATGTCTTCTGAATGTATGATTAATTATTATAATTAAAAATTAAAAGTAATTTTTTATTTATAAATATTTTTTTCAATTAGTCACTGTGACTAATTGCCTTTAAAAAAAATTTTACTTGAAAAAAATTCCAAATTTTAAGTGTTATTTTTAGAAAAGGATATTTCTTGTGATGATTTGGTCGGACATGGTTTGAAATCTATCCTGCATCTGCTGCAACAAAGTTTGCACCTGTAAAATACAACAAAATAAGCATTTGTTCTTTGTTCCGCCGGCAATGCAAAAGTATAGATCAAAAATTGTCGTGGGAACGATTTGTTTACAGTCGTCCTGACAACGCCCCCGACGTAAAGCAACTTTCAAAGTGCATTTTAATTCGAATCGGGGAAAATTTTGAGTAAATTTTTGCTTCAGTGGACAAAGAATATATTTACGTACATAAGTTGTCAGCTCTTGGACATTTTTCGGGTCGCTGTTGTTCGCCAGAGCATAGTTTTGTTGCTCGTCCAGGTTCTTCATGTCTGGAGTCTCCGCCATTCTCAAGCCTTCTGCTGATTGGATGATGGGAGCGAGAGCTTCTCTGATTGGTCGATATTTAAATTTTGGCAGTCTTGCAGCGAGCACAAATTATGTGATAGAAAATAAAATACATAAAATTATAATTTTGTATAATTACCGTACCTTGATTTTAGGAGCTCTTAACTGCGCAAAGTGGAAAGGTAGGACTGGCACTGGCAAAATTTGAAACCTTTCTGTATCACGGTCGATGAATATTTTGGTGGGATTTTATTGCCTTGTGCCAGGCCCTTCATGGCACTGGAGTGAAAAATAGCATTGTAATTGCGTGTCTTGAAAAATTAGTTGAAATGCATGGGAAATGGTCATAAGCAAAATTCACAGCCTGTATCTTTCATCATTGCCGAAATTGCCTCTATTATAACAAAAAAAAAAATCAATATCTGCCTTCTTAAAATTAAAGACATAAATAAAATATTTACCATTTACCTTCTAATTTTCAAATATTTACATATTTTTACATAAAACAATATCATATTAATATAAATTTAATAAAAACATAAAATTTAAAAAAATTAAAATTATTCAAATAATTTTATAAAAACTAACAAATATACCCATGACGGCTATATGAAAACAGTCAGGTAACTACATAATGCTGAAAATTAATTTGATATTGGAAAGAGTACCTTTGTTAATTCATCATATAATTTTATTAAATTGTGGCCTAAGTGATTGATAGACGAAGGTAAATAAAAATGAATATGTATTGGATTTCAAATTTTCAATGAGGGCAAAACAAACACCTTTCAAAATAGAAAAATATTCCGACTTGAAAACTTAAAATTTCAATTTAAATCAAATTTATGATTCCCTAGATAAAGAATCGTTGAAGCTATTTTGGTAATTATAACTAAATATTATACTGTAACACGTATGCGCATATAGTATGTCTCATACTTTTAACTTTTATTACAATTATTATTACTCAATTAGGATCCAAAACGCAAAACAGGCAAACTTTTGGCGCGTCAGCAATTCAAAGCTATTCTGCTACGTGCGAATTGAGTGGTCACGTGATCATCTCGCGACTTGCGACATGACAACGTCGCATTCCTCAATCGAGGAGGAGCATGAATGGTGCCTGTCGACGGACGGTGTCCGTGTGTCGTGTTGTTTTCATTTGTGGTGGCCAGCGACCGCAACCGAAAGAGAAGTGACCTTTGAAGAAGGTGCCCTCGGACGCAACCCTTCCGCGGCCAAGCGCCGTCAGCGATGTCGGCCTGAGCGAAGTAGCCTAACGGTGACCAGAAAAGTTCAACCAAGACGACGGAGAAGAGAAACGATGGCCAAAAGGTTTTCCCACTTTTTTCCACAAATTTGTATTCTCAACGACCTTGATTTCTCGATTTTGCAGAATCATGAGCAGCAGGTGTCCGCACGTGCACACACTGGCCGACGTCGGTCCTGAGGACGTCGAAGCGGTCAAACAGGTTCTTTTTTTTATATCAAAATGTAACGGGCTTGAATTTTGCTGATGAATTTTAATTTGTTCCACAGAGGAAGGCGACGTGCAAGGAGTGCGAGTCAAAAGGGCCCAATCTGTGGGTGTGTCTTCACCACGGCTGCCTCAGGGTGGGCTGCGGCGAGGCCCACAATGACCACAGCACCATCCACAACAAGGTGACCTCAATTTGACTATTTTCATATAATAATATCCATTTATAGAAACTGATTGTGTGGAAAAATGGGAAAATGAATTCGCATGAGTAGCGGAAGTGACTTTGCTATTTTATATGGACTTTTATAGAGCATATTAGGTTTTGATTAAATTAACCAATCAATCATACTTTGAAATGTGATTTTTTTAATAGTTAAATACATTTTATTTATATTAATTATCACATAATATTGAAATTTTTTGACAAAATTTCTTGATACGCAGGACTATCCAGAGCACTGCCTCCATTTGAATCTATCAACGCAGCGAGTTTGGTGCTACAATTGTGAGAATGAAGTTTTTCTCGAACATAACCTGCCCGCACTGACCAAGTTCACCAAAATTCCCACTCAGCAAACAGAAAAACAGCAAGCGGAGTCGGAAAGTAGTGACAGTGATGCTAGTGAAGACTCAACCTTAAGACCAAGAGGTTTGTTTCAGAATTTTCTTATGTGTATTTTTCTTGAAATTTATTTTTACAATTGAAGGCAAATTTGACCAATCCAATATTACCTTCAACCAAAAATTTATTCATTTTTATTTTATCTAGGTTTGACAGGACTGCAGAACATAGGCAATACGTGCTACATGAATTCTGCGCTTCAGGCGTTGTCCAATACACCACCTTTGACGAGATTCTTTCTTGAATGTGGAACTTCCCTTGTAAAAAACTCTCTTGAGCGGAAGCCGAACCTAGCGAGGAGTTACCTACGTCTGATGCAGGACATGTGGCATCCAAAACGTCTTGGATATGTCACCCCTTCCAACATCCTCTATGGAATTCGAAATGTAAGTTTCAATTTTCCCAGGCTACTTGAAAATAAAAAAGTGATTCTACTCGAAATTTTCATTCTCTCGTTCTTATTTGTAATAAAAATTCTTTGCTTATTTGATCTGCTATTAAATTGACGTTGAAAAAGTACCAGAATAAAATATTTGGATTAAATTTTATTTTGATTGTCTGTTTCAGGTACATCCGATTTTCCGTGGTTACCAACAACACGATACGCAGGAGTTCCTTCGTTGCTTCATGGACCAGTTGCATGAGGAGCTGAAGGAGCCAATCATGGAGTTGGAGAACGGTGTTGCTGTGCAAGCCGTGCAAGGTAGCGCGTAATCTGTCAAGCCAGACAAGACTCAAACGTTTTTACTTTCTAGATGAACAAGGCGGTGAGCGCTTGACTCCGAGCGAGGAGGACGAGGATGAGGAAGCGGGCGAGGGGCCTTCGAGTCAGTCTGAGGGCGAGTACGAGACTTGTGACTCTGGGGTCAGCGAACGCAGTTCCCTCAGCATCAGCGACGATGGCGAAAGGAAGCGCACTTCTTCCAGGAGGTCAGTCAATTTTTTTTTAAAGATGCTTTAAAATCAGTTTCATAATACAGAATAAGATTAAATAAAAAGATAAAACTAATTTCTGGAAAAGAAATTATACTTCTATTTCTAGATTGTATTGCAAAGATTTTTTTTTAATTTACAATTATAAATGTTTAATGTTTAATTCCATTTTCCAGACTTTCTCGATCTCCGTCCCCTAGTCAGGACCAACAGGTGCGCAACAAAGGTGCAGCTAGGGTGGCCATGAATGGATTCAATGGACCCAGAGGTATTTAATGAATTATAAATTACATGTGTTTTTGGTCTACATCCTTTCCCCTTGTGTTCTTAGCTGCATCACCAAACAAACCTTTCAGAAGGAAGCATTCTTTAAAGCATAAGAGCATCATCTCTGATATATTTGACGGAAAACTGCTCAGTTCCGTCCAGTGTTTGACTTGTGATAGGGTGAGTTCAATTTTGAATATTTTCGTTAAATTATATTAAATTAATCCATTTAAATATTATGGTAGACTTGTTTTATTAATAACTGTCTATGATATAAACTTTACAACTAAATATATGCTTTTAATTATTTTGGCAGGTCTCCTCTCGTGTCGAGACTTTCCAGGACCTGTCGCTTCCCATACCGAGCAGGGACCATCTGCAGGTGCTGCACCAGGGCTCACAGAAGCCAGGCACCAGTATGGCTGCATGCTCGGACGCATACGGGGGTGAGCAGGGATGGATTGGCTGGATGTGGGAATGGCTGCGCAGTTGGTTTTGGGGACCTACGGTCAGTCTTCACGACTGCCTCGCTGCCTTTTTTAGTGCTGATGAGCTCAAGGGTGACAACATGTATAGGTAAAGTAGAAGTAAAATTGAATTTTAAGGAATTAATTTTTTTCTCGTGATTTGACAGTTGTGAGCGATGCAGCAAGTTGAGAAATGGCATGAAGTACTCAAAGGTGCTTGAATTGCCCGAAGTGTTGTGCATCCACCTCAAGAGGTTCCGCCACGAGCTCATGTTTAGCTCCAAAATAGGCTGCTACGTCACCTTTCCCCTTGAGGGTCTTGACATGCGGCCTTACCTTCACAAAGGTAGCAATGTTAAATTATTAATTATTTATTTTTAAATTTGGATTTGTAACGAGAGAAACATTTCACATAGGGCTATACTAAGTTTCTGACATTAATTTACTTGTTTTAACAGATTGTTCGTCAGAAGTGACCAACTATGACCTGATGTCTGTGATTTGCCACATTGGAACGGCTGGAGGCGGCCACTATATTTGCTACTCATGCAACGCCAACAGCCAGCAGTGGTACGAGTTTGACGACCACCGAGTGTCGGAGGTTTCGCCTCACACGGTGCAAAGCTGTGAAGGCTATGTCCTCTTCTACAAGTAATAATACTCTAATATATTTATGATTTTTTTATTTAAAATGAATTTGTTTTAAGGAAATCTAGTGAGAAGATGAATCAGCTGCGTCAGCGAACCATGGAGCTGATTCAGCGAGCACGGCCGGAGCCCAGCCTGATGCAGTTTTATGTGTCTAAGCAGTGGCTTAGCAAGTTTAACACATTTGCTGAGCCAGGTCCAATTGACAACTCGGACTTACTCTGTGTGCATGGCGCTGTTCACCCTCAAAAAGTGTCTCAAGTGCGTGATTTGTGTGCTGTGCTAAGTCAGAGCGTCTGGGAATACCTGTATGACAAGTGAGTTGCAAATATGATTAAGTTTGCTGCTTTAAAACTTCTGTCTAGTTTGAATATTATATGATTTCATATTTTTACCTCTATAATTTTTCTTTAAATTTCTACCACTTAAATATAAAATTGCTCAATAACCAACCTTGCAATTAAATTTGAAGTCTCATTGTTTTTTAATTTTAAAATATCTTAAAAATTCTCAACCATTTTTAACCATCAGATTCAGTGGAGGCCCGCCGTGCAACAGACTGTTTGAGTGTACCATTTGTAAGCAGGAACAGGAGTCATTGTACCTCAGACTGAGCCAGGAGCTGGAATCATTCCTCAATCTCAACTCAGTCAGTATTCTAAATTTCGAGCGTAACAGAAAAATTAATTTCAACTTTTTCTTAGCACGAGGAAGCAACGAGTCATGCCATATCCATGAGCTGGTTCCGTCAGTGGCAGGCATTTGTGCAGAGGAAAAGTCCTGATCCTCCCGGTCCAATTGACAACTTGCCAATCTGCAACAGCAATAATGGCGTGCCCACAATCAGACCAGGTAAAAAACAAATTATTCTTCTGATTAACTAGTCATTCAATAAAAAATTAAAATATTACTTCCAAATTTTTGTTACAAAATTTTAATACTTAATTTCAATTTGCACACTTATTGGGAATGAAAAACTTTTTTTAGCTTTGCACGCTTCAAAATTAAAATAATGCAGGATTATATTATATTTGAAATTAATTTGAAACTGTGACAAACAAAATAATTTTTGGCAGGATCTGACTATGCTCAGCTATCAGCAGAGCTGTGGAAATTCTTCCACACCCTCTATGGCGGTGGCCCTGAGCTTGTGCTTCGTCAACAATCCTCATCACCAACAACTCCGTCACCGCCAAGTGGAGGCATTGCCCAGATTGGCATGAAGGGCCCCCAATCAAAGGCGCGACGAGCATCAATGAGGGCCCGTGGCACTAGTGAGGACGAAACGCCTTCGTCGCCACCGTCGTCGCTGCCAACCCCATCAACGCCTGTGCGGTTGTGTGGCAGCAACTCAAGCAGCGCAAGCGACGATGAGCCGCCGACCGGTCTTTTGGCTTAGAGCAAAAGATGGCGATGAATTGTAATACCAAAGGCACTGCAAAAGCCAGTATAGTGTGTTCCTCAACAAACGAGAAAGGTTAAATTTTTCATTATGATAATAACTACATCAAATTAAGAAGTACATTATGCATTACGTCATTACAGCTAGAATATATTATTTATTTCAAATTTTATCATTGGTGGGAAGAAAAATATAACAAAAAGCAATGCAAGTATAATTATATTTGTTGTTGTCGGATTTTATAATCTCTCTGCATTCCACCTTTTGTTGTTACTTGGACGTTTTATTTTTCAAATATGGATGTGATTTTTACACTGTGAAAGGTGCAAACCGCTGCTTCTTCTGTACTTTCCAATAAACTTCACACAGTATTTCCAAAGCTAATTTTTATATAACAAACTTGTCTTGGCAAAGACAAAGTCAGCTCTGTTTGGCATATCCCAATAATTAGGTTCAACTATTTGATAGCCTCTGTCTTCCATATACTTTTTCATGTCTGCTTTTCCACTCTGGTTCAAGTGCTGATGTTCCACAGTGAGGGTCTAGAAATTTAATTTACTGTTTAGCCACAGTTTGATAATAACTCTTTATTACCGAAATTTCAAATTTTTCAAAATCAATAGTACGCAGAACTTCAAACTCACTTCCCTCGATGTCTAAACTGAAATAATCGACCTTGCTTATATTAAGCGCCAGCATCAGTGTGGTGATTGGTGTGCAGAAGATGACTGGCTTTTCAATTTTTGTATCTTTAAAGTTTTGGGCCAACTTGTCAATTTTCCCAGTGTTGAAGTTTTGGTCAAATGAAACCTGCCAGAATAACCTACATTTTTGCATCAAGAATATAGCTTTTTCTCATTTTTACCATGATTGGGCGCCTCTCTGTGCTGAGGCAGGTGGGCGCGAGCCAGGCTTTCCTGCCCTTCTTCTGGACCATTTGAAAGTTTAGAGGGTCTGCTTCAACCAAAAGTCCCTGCCAACCAAGGCTGCGTTCAAGCCACAGGGTGTTCGAGCGCGTCTCTCCATCCAAAGCACCGCACTCAATGAAAAAACCTCTTGTCTAGAAATGATCTTTAAATTTTTTCTACACAACCTTTGTAAATATATTAACCTTATTTTTTAAGACTCTTGCAACCTTTTCTTCAAGCTGGTGTTTTGACTGGCTGAGTATTTGCGGTTCATTCAGATTATAAGGTGAGGATAGTGGGGCAGGAGTTACAAGCAACGATTTTCGCACGAATGAAATCAGTTCATGGTCATATTGCTCCTTGCCAACCATGGACATCTTTTCTACATGAAGTACAAGAATCGTAAAAAAAATCAATTATTTGTAATTTAATTTTCTTATTAAATTATGCACCATTTTTTTAATTACCTTCCTGCATTTCATGAGGATTGTTCAATAATTTCAACTTCTCACCTTCGACTGCTTTTTGAAATTTACTTGCAGGTGAAAAATAAAGTAGACACAACAAGCAGATAAGAAATACCACAGTTAAAGTTATTGGAATTTTAACAATAACGCTTCTTTGATAATAGAAGCAATGATGTGAGAGCCGCATATTACGGAATAAAATTCTTTTAGGAAAAAATGCTTGCTTAATTCTGACTTTCTGCTAAGGAATGAGTGTCTTTTCTTCAAAAGTATTTAACTGAAACTACCTGCAATTGAGGGGACGACGCATATATAATTATTACATAATTATCTCTTCCTGTCGCGTCTGATTGCCAATGGCACTACCACGAAAAAGAACATGTTTCACATCAGACCATTTTAAGAAGCTAAAATTAAATAGAGGGTGCATGCCTAGGCAATAAAAATAATTTATTGGGCTCTGATATTTTTTTTTTATTTATGCAATATGTAATTGGTGATCTCATCAAACAATAGCAGGGCAGCGGCTAAAAATATGTATATGTATGATGGCTATGGTCGGATAATAATAACATTTGTTCCGTTAAATTTACATTCACCATTTTCACATTCAATTTAATCCAATAACAATTGCAATATTCAACCTTTTATTATGCATAAACAGGACCAATCAATTTGCAACCTGCACTTGAAACAAGAGGGCGGAGAGAGCAGCTCGGCGTCGCAGCTCTCTATACTAATATCAGACTTCTAGATCTGCAGTCAAGCTCCTGCTCCATGGCAACTTTATAATAATAGTGTACGAGTTACACAATTTTACAACAAAAGTACGATTTCCGATACAAAGGCACATGCCACTCACAAGCACCATTTTTCCAATTTCACTCAATCTGATGGCTTATAATTATTAATTTTTATTAAAGCACGATGAGATGAGTCTTGTGTATATTACATGTTTGCTGAGACTGATCGAGAGACAATTAGTTAAGCGCAGTCATTGGGAGTCAAGCAAAATATTTATCATCAGCTCTACCAGCTTCGCTTGATGTTGCTCGATTTCTTAAAATTACGCTTAAAAATATCACACTTAATTATGCTGGTTTCAAATTACAATTCAATTCAGTATTATACGGGTTTGATAGGATTTTCTTTATGGTAGCATACAACCTGCCCAAATGCAAACTTGTCCGTTGTATGGTAACTTAGCATAAAATTTGAGCACAAGAAGATGTCTCTTTATAAAAAGAGTTTTGTCCGTGGAAATATTACTTAATTGAGGAAACAGAAATTTTAAAATTCAAAAAACCACACTCTGACAGATAAAATTAAATTGGTAATGTCACTACTTAAAATTTGAAAGGAAACATTCCTGAAGTGCAAAACACAATTCTATTGATTAACCCTAAAACTTAAAACACAACAGATTTCTTTACTGATTGGTCATCACAAATTAATTGATCAATGGCTATTGGGAAATTATGAGATTCACTCTTGATGCACAGGAAATCATTCTGAAGGAAAAAAATGCTATCTCAAGGGATAACTATCATCAGAAGATGCAAAAATTTGCTGAGAGGAATGAACGAAGAGGCGTGAGGTAAAATATCCGGCGCTGACATACTTTACACAGCCTTCTTTTTGCCGCCCTTACTTCTGCTGCGGGGCAATGTGGAGTGAGTAGGGTTCACGTGGTTCACCTGGAAAATTTTATGGAATTAGTATTAATAAAAAAGTAGTTGAACTATTCATTCAGGGCCCAAAAACAATAAAACCAAAAATAATGAATTAATATCTAAATTTTTAAGTTTTTTACTATATTGAAGTTGATTTTTTTTCTTTCAAAAATTAAAAAAGAACATGAATGTAATTATTAAAATGGCTTGATTGCCTTGGGGCTTTGTTGGATTTTCATCAAAACGCCATGCGAGGCAAAATATTTACAGGAGAATATTTAAAATCTGGTTTGGGAAATAGCAATCTGTTAGTTTGGGTATTGATTAAGCTCAGTCCGTTGGAAGCTTTTAAACTTATTAGTGTGGGATTTTTAAGGCACGCACAACTTGCTTACTAGTTGCATGTCAGCGCCTCAGGACTCATTTTGTTTTTCGGATCAAAAAATGGGTGAAGGATAAGGGATATTTTACAAGTCAGTCATTTTCTTGCTGCTCGTTGATGCCTCTTTCAGCTCAGATTTCTCTGGTTTGGCATGCCAGAAGCTCAGCAACGATGATTTTCCTTCTTTGCTGAATTTTTTCTTCTCTTTGGCTTCGTGTAAGAAAACAGATGGCACCGAATCTTCTGGCAATTGTCTGACAACACCTGGCTTGAGCACTAGACGGGCTTTTAAAGGCCCTTCTTCATCAGGCGATTTTTCTGTTGGTCTAGGTGGTGCCGGTCTTTTGTTGTACCTTCCAGCTCTGCCCTCTGCCTTTGGAGAGCTTGGAGTACTGCAACGACTTTCTTGCTCAACGACCAAAGAATTTCTGCTAGTCCCCAGGGAACTTGAAGCCTGTTCTGCTTCATCAAATTCCTTTTGAATTTCTTCTGCAGCCTGTGATGAAGTTGGGAGAGATTCTAGGGACATTTTAATTATGGAGGTTTGGCCAAGGTTGTTGTCCTCGGAAACACACACTTCCACTTTCATAACGACGTCAGGTGAATCTTCTTTTTTCTCGGCACTAATGATTTCAACCACTTGGTCCTGGCTTTCAGCTGGAGCTGCGTCTGCTGACTTTTCTGTTTCATCCCGAACAACAGTTATGCATTCTATTTTCTCTTCCTTGTGCTCATCTTCTGATACCACAACCAACTCTTTATTTATTATTTCATTAGTTAAACTTTCTTGAAATTCTTCACTAGGACTGTCAGTGATTTCAGCCTCAGGCTCTTTGCTGGTAATGATTTCTTTCTTCTGAATTTCAATTTCCCCTTCTGGCTTCCCAGTGATTTCAGATGGTAGTACTTCTGCTTGGATATCGTTTTCTAAAGGCTTCTTAGGTTCTTCTTCTTCCTCCATATTTTCAATGTTTTCAGCTTCAAAAAAGTTTTCAGCATCTTCTTCCAAGTCCTTGAGTATAACTTCTGGTAAAAAAGCTTTTAAATCTTCACTTTCACATGATTGTCCCTTGTTCTTCTTGGCTAGGTCCGGATCAATGTTGTCATTTAGAGAAAAATCAGACTCGTCATCCTCAATTTCTTCTATAATTACAGTGCTTTTGCGAAAATTAGGTTCATCTGACTGAATGTAAACATTTGAGAAGGGATCAAGGAGGGAGGAATTTATTGTTGAATTGTCAAAACCAGCTTCCAACACCTACGACCCAAGAAAAGGATTAATTACCATGATCAGCTTTAAGTTTTTGTATCATTAAAAATCCCAATTTACTGTTGAAAGAAATATTTTTTGAATTTCCCTTGGCAGGTAAACCTGACAACAAACTTACATCAGTGACCGACGATGTCAGGACAGTGCTCTTGGGTCGTCCACTAGGAGCCTTTGGTCCCGAGTTGGAAACGCTCCTGCGCGTTCTTGGCCGCGAGTTCACAGAGGCTGCTCTCATCAGTCCATCAACTTCCATCTCTTCGACATCAACATCAGCACTGCTTAGGGTGGGTCAGTATTAGTACAACTAGTGTATCGACTTGTATCAAGAGAAGATATAAGCAAAAGAATTTGCGACAGTAGAAGATAAGCAAGCGGAAATTTTTAGTTGATGTCTGTGATAGCGTGGTTTAAAGTTTGGTGCCAAATGTGAAACAAAAACAGCATTTCCGTAATAAAGTACAAATTTATTAAAAGTTTTTTCTGCATAAAAGCCACACATAGGTTTTACTGTTTATCTAAAGGCTTGGATTAACCTTGCGTATTATTTACTTATTAACTTTAAAATGCAGGTTGTTTTGATGACAGATATTGATTTTCATAAAAGGCACTTACATTCAAGTACATTTCGGTATAACACGGGCAACAATGCCCCTGCAGGTCACATGTGTGCTACAAGGTGTGTTGGAAAGAACTTACTGTCTAAAGGATTTTTTGCTTGTGGAGACAAATTGATTAAAAGCGCTGGACAACGTAAAAGATAAAAGAAGGAAGGCTGAGCAACCATTCAGAAGAAATTTAGGACTAGCGAAACTTATCAAATTAAAATCATTGAAATAAATGGCACATTGCATTCACAAAAAGCGAAAACTCGTAGTAAAGTAAAATCAGCACATATGATTGCTCGTTCTAAAAAATTTGGTTTTGCATCCAAAAGTACAAAACGCAGGTGTAGATTTACCTTAGGGTGGATGCAGCTTTGCTAACAGCTAGGTTATTGTTAGTCGCGTCGCCAGTGTGAGATCCTCGTTGACGTACATTGACGTCGACAGCAGAGAAGTACATATCCACTCGGCTCGAGCCAGATTGAGTTCTCCTGGGAGCATAGCCCCTGTGCGCAACTCTTTGTTCATCTACAATATTTTATTGCTTAAAATTTTACTTTTGCAATGCAATAAGAAACTGACCCTGGACTTCGTCATCCTCATCATCAGTCAACTCAACTTCATTTTTGATTGCTCTCCTTCTAGGAGCGTCCACCTGCTCTTCATTGAGGTCTCCAAGGCTGTATGATTTTTTAAGCTGGTTCACCAGGCCACCACCTCCCTGAAATCGACAAAAAAAGTATTACTAAGCTTTAACATGCATATTAAATTGAGGTATTTTATTTTAAACAAAATAATGATTTTAATTTATTGCAATGCAAAGTTAAGACTTGAAAATAGATTAATTTACGTCTCTCTCTAACAGCCAAGTAACTGTAGGAACATTGTTAAATTAATTAAAAATATTAGGTTAGCTTAATTGGATAAAATAAATTACTTTGATCAACAGGAAACTGCTGAAAAATTAAAAGTTTATTTTGAAAATAGTGTTGCAAATCGTCGGCTACGCGGCCAAATGGCCGATCTGGTAAATACCCCTGTGGGGAAAATGGCTAGTGGCCACTTTCCCCGTTGGGGAAAATGGCAGATGAGCATTTCCGGACAAATTTTTTTTATTGTTCCAATGCATTCAGTGTACAAATCTGCATCAGAAATAACCATAAAAGTATCAACTTTCTCAGTAGATGTCTCACTATCGCGAGTTAGGGGAGCAAAAGTAAGGCAGTGCCACGCCCCCTATACCAAGATCCACAGCATTCCCGCTTGCTGAATAATGCCAAAATTGTTTTAAATGCAATAAATGTTAAAAATAATGAAAATATCGAAAATAAAAAAAATATAAAAATAAAATTTTAATAAATTTAATAAAATACCTAACATTAAGTAAGAAGTAAAATATCAGAATAAGCTGTAGTTTCGTCAATATTGTATTCCAAAGTGACAGCTTTTTCATGCATTTTGCATGATAATACAAAAAATTCTTTAAAATAGATATAATTTTAAAATCAAATAGATAGTAAAATATAGATTTTATTATTAAAATATTTAACATGCAACCAGAAGCTTAATGTTGTATCCGAGCTAGATTTTACTTTACTAATTATTGCAATTTATAGTAAGTATTAGTAAAACTATTCATGAGATTATAATTAGAAGTGACGCCGGGTCATGTGAAATAAGAAAAAAATGCTTTTAATGCCAAAATTGTTTACTATTGTTCAAATAAAAGAATAAAATTTAAATTAATTTAAATAAAATAAAATAATAAAAATATTGTAAAATACGATGAATTAATATAAAATTATATTATAAAATATTATTATCAAGTTAAATTGAACAAAGAAAAGCAGGAAATAATCGCATAAGTGGTTTAATTTCGATTGTATTGTACGTTTTACTCTGTCAGTGTGGAATTAATTCCCTTTAAATTTCTTACAACAGTTGTATATTAAGGTTTAAAAGAAAATTAAGTCTACCAAATTATCTGCAATAACATGCTGAATTTTGGTTCAAATTTTGAAATCTGAACATAGAAAATTAGAGCAGATAATCAGTTTTTTGCTTCTCCTGTAAAATTTAAAAAAAGGCTCATCTGCCATTTTCCCCAACGGGGAAAGTGGCCACTAGCCATTTTCCCCACAGGGGTAATTACCAGATCGGCCATTTGGCCGCGTAGCCGACGAAATTTAATATGAATTAACTAAAGAGATGGCAAGTGAAGTGGGTATTGGCAAGATGCAAGTATGGAAGTACCTTGTACACCAGAAGAGCACTCTTGTCAATGCAGCAAGAATTAGAGAAAGAGATTGAGGTATGTGTATGTTGAGGAAAAGGAAACATACGGGGAATAAACTGAAATCGTACCTTTATAGCAGTCTGCAGGGCGTAATTTATGCCTTTGGAGCCAAGCTCAACCATCGTGCTGTAGCTTTTCTCCTTCATCTTGGCCAAATACTCATCAATCTCCTGGAAATATAAATAAAATTTGAAGCAACTTTTGAACACAACAAATACTAATAAATTACAAATTTATTGCTTATTATTATTGAGTTAACGGAGCTATTAAATCTGCTCACCTTCTCTCTTTCAGTCAGGGTTGGGTGGACAAATTTCCGGTACAGGAAGCTGGAGCCCTTTGTGGCGGGCGAGAGCAGCCATAGCACCAAGACCACCTTCATCTCATAGTAGAATGGCACCCTAAATGTTAAATTGGATTCTATTTACGTTTTCAATTAAACTGGAATTTACCAAAAGCTAAGGAAGACATCGCTGAGCGTCTCGATACAAGTGAAGAGAGCAAAGACGATCCAGTACATCATCCATGTCACCTAAAATTAGAAGTTAATTGATATAAATCACACGCAGGAAGTTTAAAGTGCGGCGGACAAGGCGTCGTTGAACTTGGGAGGAAATCGAACTCTAATTTTGGTGCCGCATGCACATGTGTGGATTTACTCTTTTAGAACGGTACTCTCTGGTACTTTCTTTCTCTGACTGACTGACAGACAGTGGAATCATTTTTTTAATTTATTAGCAAGGCAAATCTAAACGGCGAAGAGGACGCAGTGGTGCTGCGTAGGTCGCATATTAGCATTTAGCAGCAACTCGACGACGCCTCTCGGCCGAGCAGACGATTGAGCGGAGGAGTTGCAAGTATATAAATACAATGGGCAGTAATTTCAAAACTCATTTCAGTCGACTCAAATGTTAAACAACGAATCTGACAGACCGAACAACTTTAAAATTCTTGGAAAACAATTATCACCATGACGCATCCATGAGCGTGCAAAAAAACTTCAGGGATCAACAAACGAAGTAACAATTCTGCTAAAAGGCAATGAGATAATAGGTGATAATTAGGAGAGATAAAAATAATAAACTCTGTCGGTAACCACAGTTATAATTGGAAAAAGATTCTTGGCAACAAAATCTAATAAATCTAGATCATTTTTAATTGATGAAGTTTTGATGCATTAAAACTTTTTAATTACTCGTCCATATTTTCGTGAACAAAATTGATTCCAAGTGGTCATAATAAATAGGTTTTAAATTTTTTATGTTTTCAGGAGAAAAATTTATTTTTCTTTTTAAATCTATATTTAAATACACAAAAATTAAAAACGTTTACTTACATAGGCTTTGACATCCTTGTTGCGGACCGCCTTGTAGCTGGCGTAGGCCGGGTAGAGGGTGCCGAACAGCAATCTGAAGAAAGGATAGAGGACATAGTGAGCGATAATTGCAGGGGCGAACAGCAGGGTGACTAAAGTGCCAAGGGCGATTCGCAAGGGCAGGGCTGGCGCCTCAAAGGAGGGCGCCGGATTCGTGGTGACAACGAGGCCCGGTTCCTGCATCGTACCAGGACCGACTGCAGCCGCGGATGGAAAAGCAAAAGCAGCCCTCGGCGGCGGGCGCGACGCGGACGGCCGTCGTTGGCCAACTCTCTCACGAGGCTCCAGTTCGCCTGATCGCCTTCGCGCCGACTGCCCAAGCGCGACAAGCAACGCAGTAACGCACACTTACAAGGCGCCAATTCGTTTTTAAAAGTAATATTTGATTTTTAATGAAGAAATATAAATATTAAAATAACAGACGAAATTTAAAAGTAATGAGAAATTGAAATAAAAAAATAAACTGACCAACTGGCAAAACGTCAAATTAAAATTCTGAATTTTTTATCTTTGGTCCTAATAAAGGAATAAGACCGAGAAAAAAATTAATTCCTGGTGATTTCATGCAAAAGTTTATATCAGCACAATTTTTCCAGTCATTTTTAGTTACATAATCATCACATTTATTAATGATTTTCTAAAAATATTAATTATTTATTGATATTCTGCTTAAAAATTTAAAATAATTTTCTAATTGTAAGCCTGATGATTTTTTATATTTATCTATATCATCTCCTTGGGTTTGACTTTTATTTCAGTCTGGATCCAAATAAAAATTTCACAGTTTTGGCAAAAGTTCAGACACTTCAGACGAACACCTTTGCCTTGAAATTTTGTCACGTTCTATCAGTGGGTTTTCGCCTATTGCTTTAAAAGCCCGAAACGAGAGAATGGGCACCGAGGAGGGCAAACTTGATCAACCGGTTCGCTGCAAAATTCCTTGAAAATTGAAAGGTTTTATGGATTCGCATACACATAATAGGCCTGCTTGGGTTCCCCCTTAGTAAATTAATATAAATAGCAACTAGGAGTAAAAAATCTGAGTCGGTCGCACAACACACTGGGGCGGGTACAAAACGCAGCAGCAGCAACTCAAGAGATAATTTTAGCTCTCGCCAGAGAATGAAGAACAGAGAACGGTCATTCGCTCGCCCGACATTAACCAAACGAAGACGAACAACTACTTATGGCAGCTGCACAGCTATCGACACAAAACAGGCATGCAAATTGCGATCGAAACGCAGCACCGGCTGTGTAACTCAAGGACGCAGAAAATATCCGATTCAGCTGATATCAGCACGGTTTCCGCGTGTTACGTACTCGCCTCTCATTGTCTTCGTTTCTCAATTAAACCTGCAATAAATTGTTTACTTGACGCCTCAATTGAGCAACTTGTTCAGCCGACTCAGATTCAATTCCCTGGTGTTTCATTTACTTTATTGATTTTTTAAAGGCCTTCAGAAGATGGATAAGTTTATTTATTCTAATTGTAAGCTACCTTTTTTACATAAAAATTTTATTATTAAATTATTTATTATGAAAGGTTTGAGCTTGTAAGATGTTGTAATTTGAAAAATTTAAAATGCATTCATATCCACAATTCCATATTATAAAAACATTAGGAATAAAATTTTTAATGAAATTTTGAATGAAAATGATGATTTGAATTTAAAATCGGCTTTTCCTCGATGGGTTCTGTGATTTTTTCATTGTTAAAGAAAAACAAATCTTGCTCTACAATGGTACGGCTGCAGCCATAAATCATGAGCTGTGAAATCAATTTGACAAGAATTAGTACAAATAACGATCTTTTAAAAATATTTCTCTTTCAAAGTAACACTCTTTGTGAAAAAATATCAAAACAAAATGTGACTATTGAATTAAAAATTTTGTAACAAATTAATTTTTATAATAATTTTGGTCATGTTTATTCTTAAACAATAAACAACTCACAAAACCCATCGAAAAAAAAGCGAAGTTTAAATTCAAATCACCATGAATTAACCCTCAATCAACAATATCTATCACAAAATTTTTAATGAAGCTTACTCAATTCTTCTCAACATGACATTTACAACCATTAATTAAGTCACTAAAAGAGTATTTCAAAAGCATAAATAATCATGTTTTGAATTTTCTTGATAATAACTTACTTAAAATTGATTAAGAATAAAGGAATTACTTAAAATTTGTATTTCATAATTCCAAATCAATTTGAGATTTAACTTTCCTTATCATTTCCGTCTTTTTACTCTATGGAAATTTTCTTTAGAAGCCCAAAGATGAATTAATCTTAAAATCGTTTAAATGTAAAGCCAGCTGCCATTTCTAGATCCGACAAAATCTCACCCGAAATAGCAGTGGACAAATTAAGAGATATTTTTATCTGTTTGGCACCAAACGAAAGCGCCTCGCCGGGTGTTCACAGCTTCCTAAGTGAAAACATTCGGGAAATTCGGAGCTAAAGTATTCCAACGGATACCATTTGTTGCACTTTGAAGTTTCCGTCAGACACGACGATCGAAATTATTTCGCAGGTTGGAAATTTCAAAATTCCCTGCCGACGCCCGCTCATCGGTACCAGGTGGTGACGAGCACAGCTCGTTAGCCGATGAGCAGGAGCCACGCACTTTATTTTATACTTTACGAAAAACAGGCGGACCATTTAAGTTGTTTTGCTCGGATCGGCCCCGAAAGGCGAAAACAAGTCTCATCTCCATACAAGGAATGAAAACGAGACTGACCTTCCCGTCACTATTCCCACCTGAGCAAAGCCATTCGCATTGAGCTGAAAATTCTCTTGTTGAATTATCATTTGAAGTATTAAAAAAATAAATAAGAATTGTACAACAGTCGTTGCCGTTCTCTGTGTAGGTGCTCGCGAAATATCGACTCTCGAGCTGGCCTTGACCTTTGCGAGGTTCGACCTGCAAAGAGTTTTGCACATCTGTTTCTATGTGCAGTAAGAAAATTTAGAAAAGCGGAAAAAAAGGACGTTGAACGCTACAATTGAAAAAAATCAATATGAATAATTTTTTTTTTTACTTTATCGGTTAAAGTTGTGCAATAAAAACTTAAAATAATATAAAGAAATTATTAATCTGGATCAAATTTCTTACACAATAATGGCTATTTTTTTTCTTGTATAACATCAAGAATTCCATTTGAAATTTAAAAAAAAAATCAATAATTTAATAGGAATTGTAAGCAAAATTTAAGAAATGAATGTAACATTTATTCGCTTTTTTTCAAAATTCTTTCACTAAAAATTGTCATGTTCCTTTTTTTGTCTGAATTTTCTGGAAATTTCAATTAAGTCGTTGGAAGTCATCAATCAATCAAGGACGCATGTAGGAGTTGGAAACGAGTTCTGCGCACTTGAGTGTACACAGAGAGAAGGACAATTTAAACTAGGGTTCGTCGTATTGAACCACTGGATGAAATCAATCGCCCGCCGTTCAGGTGCGGTTTTTGCAATTCGAGAAAAAACGGTTCTCGGCGGTCGCGATCAAAGTCAATTTGAAAGCCGACCCGAGCGTTTAGCGCGCCTTGCGCGAGAAATTGTGATGGAAAGCGGTCGAGGCCAACCTTGCCCTGCCGTTAACAAACGTAATGTTGACCGTTGCGAATCGCCCGCACCTCATGAAAAATGAAATTTAAAAAATTCTCACATGGCGATTCTTGATCCGACGGCGGCGATCATCGTGTCCGGCGCTCAGGAAACAGCGGCCAAAACATCAACGCACGACTCAGGCCATGCGAGAGAACGTTGAGCAGAAAGAGAGACGAACGTCCGTTGGTTTTTGTTGTCCGGTGCGGCTGTGTTATTCTGCGACTCTGCTTGCGTTTAGCTGCGGCAGGGAAGGAAAAGTGAGTGAGAAAATCATCTGGTGGAAAGCGACACTGCCGGTGTACGGAGACAAAGAGAACTACGGTGACATATGCAAATTAATAAGATAGCCGGTTTTTTAAAATACACTTTTTTTCATAAAGAAATAGAATTTGTTGAAATCTTCTTGGTTTAGTTTTTTTTTAATTTCTAATATATTTTTTACTCATTACCAGCAATCAAAGGTGATTTTAATTGAAGTTTAAAAAAAATTTGCACCGAAAACTTTGTATCTCATACCGAATAACCGGTTTAAAAAGTCTTTATAAGCAAAAACGGTTTATAAACTCGCCGTGAGATGGCAGTCATACTTTCAATTTGAATTGTCTCTCCTTGGAGGCTTATAAAAGGACAAGCAACAATTAAAAATTGTTTGCAAATCATTAATGCTGATCAATTTATTGCTGAAAAGTATGAATCGCGAGCAAATAAAATTGCTACGTCTTCAACCTCACGCCATTATTTGTAAATTCAGGCAGTTTTGCACAAGGATCTTGCGAGCCACCTTGCGCGTTGATCCACCTGCCGAGAGTAAAGTGCGGAATGTCAACAAATAAATGCGAGGAGCGCACGTTCGAAATAGGTAAAGCGCGGCGCGTGTGATATCTCTGTGCTTGAAACTGTTGTTGCGACAGCACGGCGCGCGGGGAGAGAGGGGAGTATCGAGGAGAGGGGGAGCGGACTGACGGACCCAGGCGAGGCAGAGGCAAGTCGCACGGGCACCAGGCGTTGCACCAGGTTGTAATACATACGAGAGAAGAAGGCAAAAGTCTGCGCGAGTCTTGAATCAGTGCTTTTGGTCTGTGGCAGCGGCCGAGCGCAGCGAGAATCCATGAAGACGGTGGTGCGTGCGAGTGGCCCAAGATGAACGTACCAAGTGCGGCGGCCGCAGAGACGGCCGTCCTGTTCAAATTCCGCGAGGAATTGGTGGGCAAACGCTTTCTGTCACTCAGCGGTGGCTCGGGCAGGTTGAAAACGAGCAGGATCGGCGATTGGGGGTGGCGAGCTGGCGTGATCAGGGCCGCCAGCCACCGAGACACCACCAACCCTGAACTCCAGGTATGTAAACACCAGCCTCATTTTTTTTAACACCCCGTCCGTCCTTCTTAAAGAGACCGACCGAGTGAGACACACACCGCAGGTTCCGATAACGGGACTTTGGAGTGCCCGCAGCTGTGAACGAGATGAGGCTGCACAGGAGCCGCTTCTCGCATTATATAGATGAGAATTTAAACCAACAAGCTTTTCTCCATAATTTCACCATCGAATCTGATTTTTTTTCCTCCTGGACTTTCTCAAAATAATAGCCCAAAAATTATTGAATGCTGCTCTTTATTATATTATGTTTATTTGAACAAAAGGTGATAAAATTTAATTTTGAATTAATAGAAAATTTGAAACGAAAATTATATAAATATATCCTACAATCAACAATAAATAATCTACATAAATTTAACAATTCTTTACTAAAACTTCAATAATATTTTACACTTTTATGTGAAAAGTGTCATTTAATTTTTATTTCCACCAATCAAATGTTCATTCCGTATCAAAGAACATGATATTGTTTTAAATCTCAAATTCTGCCGTAACTATTTACTTTGCAGGGAAATTTGGGGAGAATCGCGTCGACGAACCAGCTGGAACGTAAATAAATGGCGTGTGGGGCTGGTGTGCAGCTAAATTTAGACGAAACCGTATTATAATTACACGCGATACTTCGGAAAGAGCTGCTACTCTTGGTACTAAATATTCCCCGAGATGCGAGAGCGCATTATTTTGGTCACGCCGCGCGGGGGAGCGCGCTGAGGTCATGAACCCCGAGCGCAGTCAATCGGAGGGTGTGGCGGAGGGAGTGACATTGATAAAACTCGGCAGCAACTTCCCAGCCCGTTCCGCTCCTTCCCATAATGACCGTTGTTTTCTTTTTTACTAATTTCGGATGGTCCCCATTGGGTTAGTCGGACGTTATCTGTGACAGCTGATAAAAAAAAAGCACGGCGCGCCACACGTGACGCTTCGGTTACATTATAATACTATTTTCGATTAGATAATACAGACACAATGCGCCGCCGGATGATGACCGATTATATTATATTGTAGTGCTTTTTTACAAAAGGGCGATGTTCTATTTTTAGACTATTCAGATTTCAATATCAAAACAGGGATAATGTAATGTAAATAATTAATTTTGATTATTGTAGAAGGGTACCTGCAACTAATTTTTACGTCCTTTTCCTATTATAAAAATTTGATAGATAAATTAGATCTACTCAAAAGATTTCCTTTTTTCTGCCGAACAATTAAATTTTATGAACTGATTTCATTTTTTCTATATTCAATATAATTTAAGAGTAATTAAATTAATTTATTCTCTCACAGATTTAGTCATGCAGGAAGAGGATGTGTCACATTTTGGGAGAGGATTGGAAACTTCCTAAAACTCAGAAGCGAAAATAATGTTTCCAATTTAAATTACTCACTGAGCTGTAGTCGTGACGGAAAAATTATCAGATAACATAATTATTCATTGCACTTTTTAAACTTCTCAAGTATTTTTAGTTTTAATAGATAAATCTCCCTCGTTATCATGCCAAAGAATCGAACAATCAAGAAACTACCAAAAAAGGATCGTGAAATTAGTTTCCATTTTCATATTCATTTCGGTAAATTTTATCGTCCATAAAAGATATATCAATAACCGAGAGGCAAAATTTTCACATAAAATTATTGACCGTTTCAACGGTGCATTGACTCACTGCCATTAAATACTATACTATTGAAGACGGAAAATATGCAACTTAAAAATATTTTTTTCTTCTTAATATAAATTTTCGGCATATTTGTTTATTCTCCATCACAAGTTATAAAAAAAAATGAAGTATTTGACTATATTTTTAGAAGATATATTTTTTTTACGTTTTGAATTTTAATTAATTAGTTTTACAAGAAATTTGATCAGGCTAATTATTTCTAGCCCGCATTTTCTCTGTTTTGATATTGGCGGCTTTCACTTGACAAGTGCACTTGAATTAGAGTATCGTGTTATCGCCAGCTGTGCAAATACTGCGCTGAAAATAAACCAGATGCACATTCCTGTGGGGCAAACGATGTGCTTGACAAGCACAAAATCCCTCGCCATGAATATAAAAGAAATAATCGTCTCTTATTGATTTTCCATTTGCACGAATTTACTTGTCAAGGTCGCGACACGAAATATGTTCGCCGTTATGTATTATTTGCTCGGGAAATTCCGAGGATTCATCACGCTTCCTTGAAACTTTCTTTCTGCGGCGCCACGTGAACGATTATATTTGTTTTTCCTTTCGACCTTCTCGGAAGGGCCAATTATTATATTTTTACCGCGCATTAAAAATCAGTCTTTATTTTGCTTTGCACAAATAACTATTTTGGTGCGATTCTTTTTAAGTTTCATTCAAAATTCAAACAAGTGAAAATCGCGGGAGATTCCTCACGAGTGCCGCTCCTAGTTATTTTGGCGCGCTGATGCCGTGGAAAAAATGCGGCTTAGAAGCCGTAAAAAGCCAAAGAATCCCATTTCTGGCGGCGCGGTTACGTAAAGGGCCCGCCGCACTCACTCACACTTTTATGCAATGGCCTGCCTGCCTTTATATGTAAAGCGATCGCTTTCACGCGTACGTTTGCTCCTTCCACATTGCAGTACTTGTAGTAGTGCCGCCGTAATGAGGAATCACACCCGATGCCTCTTCGTAGCTGCCACTTAATGATAGTCTCCGGCGCGCACTTGAAAGTCGCCGCTCTAAAAATACTCCCGGCCTGCATGCCTGTTAGTAAATAAATCCAAGTAGGACGCGGACACATTTGTTCACCCCTTTCTGCAAACGTGCCAAAGCCGAATTTTGGATTATAACCATCGATTTTGACGCAAATCAATGTTAATTAATATTTTTACCGCATTTATGTGAAATGAAAAAAGGCAATAATAATAATTTAATTTTTAAAGAAAAAGTAGAGTCCTTTTTGTAAATTTTTTTTTCTTTTTTTTTACTGAAAATCAGCTGAAAATGAGGAACTCACCTGGAATTCACTAAACAAAAACATATAATCTGCATTGGTTTTGTTAATGTTTTTTGCTGCACAAGAAAATCATATATCAAAATAGAAAATTTTAATTTTATTGCCAACATTTCACTATACAAATCCTGCAATGCAAAAGGGAAAATTTGTAAAATTAACGTAAATTATTAAAGTAATAAATTAATCAAAATTAATTACTTAAATTGATTTTACTAATAATCTAAAAGATTAATGCATTCACAATACAATTTTTTATTTTGACAGCAGTAAATGTGTTTTTAGTTCAATTTTTTCACTTTTTTGATAGAAATGTGAATTTTTTTATTTTAAAGTTTTCGTCTATGCTGAACGTAGGTCAGTGCTAGTGAAGAAAAAGTAATTCTAATGTATATATAATTTTTTTTCGGCAATTTCTTTTGGTTACCTGTCTTTTGACAGTGATTGATTTAAAATTCAATATCTTAACAATAATCTTTACAATTCATCTACTTGTCTTGTTTAGTTGAAGTTCAATCACACTTCAATGGTCTAGTTTTATTATCTCTGAAAGTGCTCTACTGATATACCAGTGATATCATTTTGAATTTCTTTTCCCCGAGTAAGATAACCTAATTATCAAGAATCTATAATACGAAAACGAGAAAACGATGAAAAACACGAAGCAGCCTCGACTCGCGGTGGTCGTGCTGGTGACCACTTCGTTAGCATATTAATTACACCGCGCCGGAATCGATAAAGCGAAAGAGAAAAAAACGATTGCGCGTTGCGACCAAAAGAGCGAAAGGCGGCAGCCCTAACTGTTCGCTGAATAGAGGGCGAGATTTTTCCTCTTGACCGCGGGCAAAAAATCGCGCGAAATAAAACAAGACGGAAACCGGACACCAGTCGGTCGGTCGGTGCACGCGAGATCATCGCTCTCTCGGTCTCGACGGCAGTGCCAAAACACGCCGGGATAATCGATGCCCGCGCGCCCGTCGTCATGGCAACGGCCAGCGGCCGCGCTCCATTGGACCGGCGGCCGCGGGGGAGGAGTTTGGCCGCAGCAGCCATGCTGGATCCGCGAGCCGGCCGCTGGCGCTCTCTGCCGTCCGCGAATCGAACCGCTCGCAACCCGCACGCGGGCAGGTGCGACACCAACCTGTCTTGGAGGACTTTTGTTTACTTCGTCGCTATAATAAATTTAATTTTAAATTTCGGTTAATCAAATTATCGATGATAATTAGAAAGAGTATTTTTTTAATCTGTTGGAATTTAGAAAAAAAAAACTAATATTTTATGTCATGTTAATAATTTTGTGTTTATTTATTTATTTACTTTAACAATTTTTTACAGTTTTTAGTTTATTTTTGATTGGATTCATATCATTTTGAAATTCCAGGAAATCTTTAAAATTTAAAATAATTTTGTATTCATGCGTTTTATTTAAATGAATTTAATTTATAATTTAGTGTAGCAAACTTTTTGTAATGGTTTATTTTTGTTTAGGGTCATCTTGGATCAAACAATCACTGCATTTTAAATTATTTTATATTTTGCTTTGTTAATTTACGCTCAAATTTAACAATCGCACATTAACCTGCAATTAATGCTGCCGTGTCTGTTTGTTTCTTGTATTAAATGAACGAATCGCTGCTTTTATGATTCTGATTTAATTTTCGCTTGCGTCAATCAAACAATAAACTTGACGTGCTTTACAAGAATTCAGGTTATCGCGGCAATAAAAATGCGCTGCGGTTACTCACTTGTGTACAAAAAAAGCCGACGCTTCGGAACCGTTCCCCGAATCGCAGAGAGCAATAACATATGTTGGTTTTGTTGTTTCGTGCTTACTTTTTTTTTCAAATATCTTATCTAGCTATGAAATAACCTGATTGGGCTAACGAAGAAAACAAACGTTCTTTTTATTGTCTCTAAATTTAAAAATAGTAAATTTATTTTTGTATCTATTTAATTTTTCTTTGTTCAGTTTCAATTGCTCAAATTTTATTTAAATAGTTACAAATGAAATGGGCGTTCTACAAGTTGAACTGATTTGTGTGTTTGTTGAATGTTGCAGGTGCTGGTGGAGTACGACGACGTCGAGTGGCAGCGGCGCGAGTGGTTCAGTCCGCACAAAGGGCACATCTTCCACGTCTTCTTGATAGAGAACCGGCTCGTCTGGGCGCCCCGCGGCGAAAACGCGCTTCACCCGGCCCTTGTGAGTTTTGCGTTTGACAGTCCTCCTTCAGCACACTCCCACCTAGCAAACTAAAAAACTGAAAGAGTAAAACGAGGCTCGGCAGATGTGCGGTGTCGGTAGCCAAGCTAATTTATGCGACAAGTTTTTTTTTTTTGCCACAGCTCAGATGACCAGAGCACGTGGAATAAATTATTGATCAAATGAGTGTACACCTTTTATGATTAACGCCTCTAAAGAAACCGGACTGTGCTGAAAAGGGCTATCTACATTATTCATTTATGCAGAATTCCATTACGCTCACCCAAGAATTTTTGTTGGGAAAATTTTCATTGTTTAATTGTTTCTATATATATATTTTTTTTAATATTTCGAGAAAATTCAATACAAATAATCTTCTCTAAACAATTTTCTTTGCCCTTAATTTTGAGAAAAATTTAAAACCTCCGTAAATATTTGATTCTATCTTTTAGCTTATTAAAAATAAGCTGACTTGTTCTTGTTATATAGTTTCCCTTATATAGCCAGAGCTGAGCGAATTTGAAAGCCCTGAAGCTCTTTCCTCTTGTTAAATTTGCCTTCTGACTATTTTCTTTTCCAGACTTTCAAGATAGTGGTGGATAACGCCCAGGTCGCCCAGTCGCCGGTCGAGCCCATCGAATTCCTGACCGATCGAGCTGTCAGTTTTCGAGACGTCACAGATTACGAGCCGTTTCAGGTAAAATTATAATCAAGACAGAACTCTTGCTCTGGCGCCCGCTGTAGTGCAGTCGGTCCACGTCAATCGGTTCTGGTTAATTTTTTTTATCGATCAACCAGAAAAAATAAACAGTTGCTCGTAGAAAGAGCAGAAGGAAAACAACTTTGCATGCTGTGCAATAACGCAATCGAGATGGTCGCCCAAGCAGCAGATATTTAACCGCGCCGACGGTCTATAATGTAAAAAGTTTAAGTTATAAAGTCGCGTTTGAGCTTATATAGACGAGCGAAAGAGGCAAAGTTTTCTTGCAGTGGCAGTCAGGAAGCTGTTGGAATGAGAAAGTTTTGGGGCAGAAATGAAAGAAGAGTCGCAGCACCTTTGCTTTTCCGATCTGATTATCTGTCTTCTCAGGAAAGTTGCGCCCTTCGGTAGAAAACTACTCGCCAACTTGTATATAATTCGCAATAGTTTTCTTGGCGCGCACACTCGAATGCGGAATATAAACTTTTTTGCCGAGCAGGAGAGTTTGAGCGAGATTAGTAAAGTGCTAGCTGCTCCTCTCAGTTTGCCTGCCGCCATCTACGTAATACTTTACATAGTTAGTTTGGCAAACAACAACCAACAAAGTTAAACTGCTTGACGGCCCCGTACATTAGGAGAAAGAAAAAGCCGGGCTATATTCGCCGGAGCTGAAGTGGTGACGGCGGCGGCGAGCAAACTTTTGACAAAAGTTTGTTTCGCCTGCGCTCCCTTCGCTCCGCTGCCAGCAGCAGCAACTTTTGGTCCAGTCCATTTCACTCAATTCGTCCCTCGAGGGGCATATTTCACCCGGAACACAAATACACAGCTACCATGTAGCAATATCAGCGCGCGCCATTATTAGATTCTCGCAGAGGCGCTTTGCATGTTTCAAAAGTACATATCCTATTCCAACTTCGCCTGCTGCTTATGTAATTCAAAACAGATAGTTTAATTTGCGCTCTGCAAACTAATCAGCCGAGAGCAAACCAGTGTGTTTTGCTTATGTCATGTTAATTAATGGTGCTTTCAAAGTGTTGATTGAATTAAATTTTTGGCTCATCTATTGATTTATCTGCAGGGCTGGGAAAAAGCACCCCAAGAAGCCGCCAGGGATGCTGGCGACGTGATTTCCGCTATTAAACAATGGACTGATTTTCAAAACGGACAGAGCATCCTGCTGTCCACGCCTAGTGTTCTGGTCGGATACAGGGTAGAAGTCTACAGGGCAGAAGGCACTACTCAGTGGTACACTGCTGTGATTGTTGCCTACAATGAAGCCTCAAGTGTAAGTCGCTCACCTTGAATTTATTTTGTTAAATATAAAATCGCTCATTAAATATGCATTCACTCAATATTCATCGCTTTGAAGAATTAAAAATATTTATCATTCATTTTGAATCGCAGGACCTGACAGTGACTGATGACACAGTTTTAGAGGAACACAACGAAGACCCCCGCCTTGTACAAATGAGACTTATCGGAGATGGAGGTAAACTTCTTATAAATACAACTCAATCATTCATTAAATCATGGCCGAGTGCCAAACAATTTCAGGTCTTTCCACTTGCTTCTATTTTTAAAATATCCTCTCTGCTTCAGTTGTTGAGTCCATCATGCGAGGTGACAACCAGGGCATCACGTCCAGACGGTCCCGATCTGCAACCGCTGCTTCCAGCCTGTCTCTTCAGTCGCCTGTGAGTCCTTTGTTGACTTTTATTGCATGTTTATGTAGTTAGCGAGGCGGTCCATTGGGATTTTTACTGCTGCCGCATTTTACTCTGATTAAAAAAAGGAGTGCCCTGTGCAAGTTTCCGTGGGGGTGACCTTGGTCTGCGCGCATTGCAACATGTTGTGAATGTGTCGCGCGAAGCCTTACGAGATGACAAATAGCAGCCACATGAAAACCGAACCTGTCAGCTCTCTCGAGATGCTCAGCACGGGATATATTTAACATCTGCCTCCAAGCTGCTCACTTTATTAAAAAATGAGGGGAGCGTCGTTTTGGTTTCGGTGCAATATTCCTTAACGCGCGCGGCTCCACCCGCAACTAAACAATCAAAGTAAATATTAAGATTTTTATTGGTCTCGTCGGCAGATGCGAACTCAGCGAGTGACCTCGACGCCGTCATCCAGCCCAGGAGGCCGCAGCAATCACACGCCCCCATCGTTTGTGTCATCGGCCTCAACGAATTCTAATGCGATTGCTGCACGCAAGGCACCAAGAGGAACCGACACGCCAGATAAAGGTAAGCGCGCTTTCTCTATTAATCTTTTTGCTAAATGCCTAAATTTTAAATTTGGATAAAAGTAAAATTTTAAAATTATAAGTTAACAAAAAAAAACTAAAAAAAAAATGCGACCACTGTTATTAATTTTCTTTGAAATTCAATATTTTATTGCCCCGTTTTTTTTTTCTTAATGAAACCAAAATTTTATTTACTATTTATTGTTCTCCCGATATTGTTGATAAATAAGCAAAAGAAATTAAAAATAATTAGTCTCCTTAATTATAAAAAGGCTGCGTTAAAACAGATGCAGCTGTAGAAAATTGCTCCTCGGAGTAGAACGTGGCATGCACACAAACCTGTCTAATTGTAAAAGTAATGTAGAAAAGTCCCGTTTCATTCAACTTTCGACTGAAGGACTGTTTGTTAATCTGACAATGAAGGAGCGTCCGTAAAAAAAAAACATTGAATCGCGCACACTTGGCTGATGACGCGTTTTTGGCCAATATGCAGTGCGGTGCAAAAATTTGCAAGTGCGGGGTAATTTGCTCTCGCTGTTTGCTTGGGAACGGAGGAGCGACTGTGATGATGCAGCAGCAGCATTGTTCAACTTTCACGAGAGAGTCGTTTACTTGGTGCGCTGCTGATTACTCGCCGTTTTATTCTGCTAGGTCAGCACTCGCTTGCGTTGCACAGCCGACGTATCAAATTCCTATTTGCACTCGCGGATTCTGCATAAATTTATGCCCCCATGTGTGTGTATATTTATTGCGACGCTCGCATTCCCGTGCTGCTCGAGTTTCAACACCGCGCGCTCACAATAATTATTCTTATTTCAATTACGTCCTGAATGCGCGCACCTAGCTCTGCTGGTTGCGGGTCTCCATATAACGCTGCTGTCATTTCACGCGCCACGAGACTTGTTCTTGGAACTGCAGCCGCAATTACAGCAGAACTCACATCGTCGAGCTGCTGCTGCTATATGATTGTTGATGCGAGCTCCTTAGCTGAGTGGGCAAAATGCGGCGCGCGTTGTTGATTTGCAAAATAAACAAAACCACGTCAGCAGTCACTCGGAATCAGTGACTTTCGAAATTTGCTCGCTTTTATTTGTAAATGTTTATTAGGCTGAATTAAGGGCATAACTGCACCCGACTTATAAAAACAAAAATAATAAATGTAATTCTTTGAATTAACAGCTTTTCAAAATCTCCCTCATATTAAATTTGGGATTATAATTAAATAATAATCTTAATCGTACCTTTTTTTTATTCCTGAAAGAGGACTTTGTCTTATCAGCCTTGACGTTAATGGCTTTATCTTATGTGTATATCATAAAAAAAAATAATAATAAAACCTAGAAAGAATCAAACTTAACCAGAACATAAAACTGCATTAAAAGTGTTGTGCAATTTCAGTCAAAGAGGTAAAAATAAGACAAAAATCTAATTTTTTAGTTAATTTAAAAAAATACCGAATAAAATTAAAATTTTTATTATACTCTTATGGATGCTAAGCACATTCATCAACCCGTTTGTGAGGCAAAATATCAAATTTCACAGAGGGCCATCGCAATTTTAGGAATGCTGAAAAACAACCGCCAGCACAATGATGAAACTCGCGAACCGAGCAAGGAACGCTTTTTCTGGGGCCTGCAGGCAGATAGATATATAAAGATGAGTTCTTTATTCAAATTTATTTTGACTCTACGAATGTCAAACGGAGACAAAGGAAATTTGCTAATCTGAAATCAGCACAGTTGACAAAGGCGGAAGGAAGCGCGCGACGCAGGACAGACGGGCAATAAAAACAAGATCTCATCGTTAAGACGCACACCGGCGGGCAGGTCGGTGGGTCGAAGCTCGGCGGCTGCTCGCGAGCACAAAATAATATTTTCCGTGTAGGGAGGTCAGAATAGCAGCGTGGAGGGGAACGCGGTGGTGTCTGCCGTGTGCTGTGCACTGCCCTCTGCAGAGCTGCCGTCGGAATCCGGCAAGAGGCTGCCATTGAGTGGCCCGGCATAGCAACCGCAGGCAGCGTCCTCAGCACCAGCTCCCTTTTTGTGCGTTTCACCTGCCCGAGATTGTAACAATCTAATTTAGTGCAACTCCGTGACTTTTGAACCCGATTGATAAGTGCGCGTGTGTCCGACTGCGGCCGCAGCTCCAGTAGGTAAGCAAGCACCTAATTAATTAATTCCGCAACTTTCCTTGTCGGGTGAAATGCAATATAATTTATCGCACGGGAAAGTAGTGACACGCGCGTGGAATATTATATCGGAATTTTTTTTTTCGGCTGGCACACAGATAACCAGACCATTAGAGTGCAGGTGCGATAAAAAATTATTTTGTTTTCTCCTCGCGCGCTCACCAGACTTATCTGCTCATGTTTTTCGTGGTGACGCGTCCGTCGCTCGGCAAATATACACATTTATACGCCGCGGTGATAAATTCGATTCGGATAGAACGAGAGCGCGGCGCACCACCTGCGCCGATCATTCTTGCTTTACAGTTACGGCCATTTGGTTCTGCGGGAAGCCAGGTTTGAGAGTGAAAAACGTGGTGAGCGGCGAATCAAAGCAGCAAAGTTGGCGAACCGGAAAAGCTAGAAAACGGGAAATTTGCAAAATCGGCTTGTATTAATAATTGACCCATTACCAGCAAAAAATTTATCTAGGAAAAAGGAAAATGAAGGCGTTACACAAAAATTATTATTATATTAATAAGTTATTATTTACTTTGACGAACACGATTTTCAAGTTTTAATTGTTTATTTGTCAAATCGTTATCGTCACGCGATAACAAGAGAGAAAAGTTTGTTCCCTTCTGAAAGCATACCATAGAAAATTAAATTACATTTTATTATTTGCACCAATATGACAATGGTATAGAAAAACGACAAATTGAAAGAAAAATTTTTAATCTAGATCTGAATTAATTAAGTAAATTTTAATCAATTAGAGCCGAATAAACCTCCAGCGGATATCTTTTATTATACCTCTTGGACTAATTGGAAATAATGGCTCTTGGCTTCCAGCAGCGAAATTTCACAAAAGAATGGATCTTGGCCAAAGAGTGGCAAATGCATGCTGTCAATGGAGGAAATTAAACTCGGCTGACTCACTGCTGCCGATAATCGATACTGCCCGGCCAAACACAATTATTACTAGAGCTCTTGAGCAATGGTGTGCGCGCGTGTTTTTGCCTCTGGCTTGTTGCGACACAAGCGTTTTCCCGTCTGCGTGGAATGGCGATCCGCGTGCACGTTCTCATCCATCTTCAACCACGAATTCTTTTTTTATTTTATTTTGTGCACGTTTTCCGCTAAATTGGTCCAGCGCAGAAGAAAACCTGCTTGAATAATTTCGGCCCCGGAGGCGAACCTGACAGAGGTGTTTCTCTTCCTTTGTTGTCGATGCAAGGCTGGGAGGGTAAAAAAGAAAGAAATCACTCTGATAACAGGTGAAATTCATGCGTCGCCCCTTCCTCCCCCCATATACAGAGATGAGCCCTCGTGTTGTTGTGTTGATTTTTTTCTTCCACCTTTTCCTCCTGTCGAAGACGCACACAATGCTCCTCTCCCAGGCTGAGCGCGTCAAGGCCGTGCACCTTGGATCTTACTGCTGCCTGGATTCATAATAGTAATAATAACAATGATGGTCTCTCTCTTGCAATGCAGCAGCTGCCGCTCTTTTCGCCGAACACGTCTTTCGTTCAGCATCCGAGCAAGTCCATTCACTGTTCAAGGCTATCTATATGCTGAAAATTAATCGCGCAACCGGTTCCCGTGGGCAGTGGGCGCTTTTCGCTCTCTCTCGCGACATGATCTCTCTCTCTCTCGCATGTATATTTGCGTTGAATCAGAAAGAAGAGAAACAACTGCCGGTTTTTTTCTTCCTCCCTCCTTTATGTATGTAGTAATAGTTCTTATAACAGAGACGGCCGGAATTAATTATGCGAGCCGCGCACGATTTTCCTGCGGATTCGCCTCGGCCACGTTAATGAGCAGCTTGTCTGGTCGTTGGCCTCCAAGTGACTGCTGAATTGTCTCTTTTATGTGCCACCGGTAGGACGGAAAAAGAGTTTTGTAAAGAGCGACGATTGTTCGAGCGCCCGGTTACGCGAGCGGGTCAAAAAGGCAATCTGCTGACGAGATTGGAAAACTGGAATGCTTTAGGAATGCAGCCTCAGGCAATTTTGCAATTCTGCTGCTGCTTAATTTCTTCGGTGAGCGGATTTGTATTCAATTGACGTCAAAGTGATCCTTGGACCTTAAGCTCTGCGAGTTTTTTCTTTTTTTAATTAATAAAAATAGTTATAACTAAAATCATACAACATGCGAAGAAAAGAGGTGAATTATTATTTTTAATTTCCTAATTTAAACTGTTTTAAGGATTACAAATATTTAAGACAAATTAAAAGAAAAACTTAAACACATCTTAAATTTGTTTATAATTTTTTTTCGCCTATTATCAAATTTAATGAACTTTTTTTTCAATAAAAAATTGTTTCCTTCTAAATAAATTTTTTTTTAATTAAATAATTATATATGAAATTTTGAAATAAACTCGTGAACCGGCCTGTAGGTTTTACTAATGATTGTTTTTTTATAACAATTTCTATTTTTTTTTTTTTAACCGTGCATTGATGGCTTTTGTTTGATTCTCTATTTTTTACTTGCAAGACAAATTTGCATAAATGAAAACGGCGAAAGTTGGCAGGGTGTCCCTTGCGGAAAACGAAACAAGTGAATAATCAAACATTCCTTGGCCTGGCAGTTGGACCGAAAAAGAGTTTGGTGTTTGTCCTGCCATTTGACGGCGGCGATTTCACGTCGCCTCGCTAATCGGCCGCTCGTTCTTTTTCCTTTGCCAGTTTATCGCCAAGCACAAGCTCCGCTGCTCCGGAGTGTTTATTTTTTTTATATACATTTTTATTTTTTCGCGATGTGGCTCACGCGGCTCGCTTTTTCAAGGACATGCTTTTTCGCCAGCAGCGTTTAATTCAAAAGCGTCAGACACG